CTTGCTCTTTTTCTTTAGGCATTCTGCAAGTATATTAAAAAGCATCCAACTTTTCGAAATATCTTGGAATTTCTGACAATCATTTTAAAGAAATTTATCGCCTTCCATTTCATAAAGGCCACAAACTGCAAGTTGCTGAACACTGGTAGTTCACTCCGGGGTTCAAATCCCAGTAAACGGGCTGGTTGCATGGGCATTTTCGTGGATTTTCTCATGTGTACCGTGTATGCCAGCTGGTTTCCCTTAGAAAGTTCTTCACGAAGTATTTGGTCAGAGCTTTTATCAGTCGTTAGAGGCTAAACATTTTGAAGGTATGAGATGAAAGGAAAGCCTGGGTTCCTCAAGAGGTTTTGGTTTATTTAATTATGACAAAGCACACTAGGGCTATCTGCCTAAGGGAAGGGATGCCTTCGTGGAGGACTTTCTAAGGGAACTGGCTGGCATACACGTTACACATGGGGAAAACCAGGAAAACGCCCATGCAGCCAGCCCGTTCGCGGGATTCGAACCTCGGACCAAACTACCAGTGTTCTGCGACTTTACCGCTCAGGCTGTTCATCAGGAGGGAAAAAAAAAAAAAAAAAAAAAAAAAAAAAAAAAAAAAAAACATCTTTAGGTGACATCCACATACATCACTGGATAAACTCCTGAATCTTCAAATAATTCGACTGAGAAATCATGGATTCTCCATTTATGATACGATATGATGTTCTATAACGTAATTTAAATTTATACAACCATATAGTCTTAAAACCAGTCGCTCTTCACTTTAATCTGCAATGATATCGTTTTTTGTCTTTTCTGTTAACACAAGCTTCAATTGATGGTATTTGCTGGTGTACACGTCCAAGTGTTTTCTCTTTGAAACACCTAAATTCTTTGAAGTATCCTTGAAGGTATATTCAAAAGCGTCCAACTTTTTGAAAGATCTTGGTATGTCTGACAGCCAAATTTCCCTGCAAATTTTTGCCTACTTTTCTCCCTAATTTTCTTCTTTCCTTCTACAGTTATTTTCAGTGCTCACACAGAAAAATTAAGATTTTTCGATTGCTAGACTTCCATAAATTTTGCATTCTTGTCAATTTTTTAAAAATATCAATTACATGAATTGCGTTTCAGCTGAAGACAGCTTTTCTTTCTAGTCATTTTAACTATAAATAAAGTTTTAAAGCGAAGTCCAAAGGATAAATATTTAATTAAAAATTTTTGCTAAATTACAAAAAATAAAACTGTCCAGTGTTTCTTCTGTACCCCCCCGAGTGACCCAATTCTTATATCGACTGAAACAATCTAAATTATATTAAAGCTCATGCTTTTTTTATACAATCTATACCGCGAGAGAAAAATTAGCTTCTTAAAAAACATTCTTTCTAAGAGGATTAATATAAAAATTTATATTTATATATATATTTTTTTAAGCTGGAACTTAACCCAAACTGTCAAACTTTTAAAGTTTAATTTACATGGTGGTTATAATTAAAGTTCCACTTTGAAATAGTCGTAAAAGGAAAACTACCGGACCAAATGTTATCAAACTTGGGAATCGTGTAAAGGAGGTTATGGGAATTTATTTTCCTCGGGGGAAAAAAAAAAGAGCTTAAAAGCTCACCACCAGGGAAAGAATAGCGCTGTATACAATATTGTTAAATGAAATCAGACATGAAAAACATCTGTTTAAAATGTGTTTAATAGTTTCCGAAACGTGTTACAAAGCATGTTCAGGGTAGCGTCCAGCATTTTTCGAAAGCAAGTAAGTCCTGTTACCGCATTCTCAACAGTAGCTCTTAGCATATCAGGAGGAATGTTACGGACATGTCAGTGTATCACATTTTCATTTCTGCTAAATTGTTTAGATTATCACCATAATGGCCGAACTCAGGCTTCAAAAATTACAAATTAGCGATCTGTAAGAAAACGATTTCCAGATTGTACGCACTTATGCGAGTAATTTGCGATCTCACATTTTCTAATTGCTAATTCGTGGTTTTCACGGACGAATTTCTCACTTACACGGATGGCGCACTCGACTTTTATCGAATTTAACGCCTTTAAATGGTAATTTGCTTAAGGGTATACAACATATTAAACCCGTGTAACAAAAGGTTAAGTTAGATTCCGACCCATATTTCGTTTAAAAATATTGCATACAGCGCAATTTCCCCCCTGGTGGTAAGGTTTCGAACTTCTTTTTTCCCGGAAAATAAATTCCTATGACCTCCTTTACACGATTACCAAGCTTGATAACATTTGATCCAGTAGTTTTCCTTTTATGACCCTTTCAATGTGGAAATTTAATTATAACCACTCTGTATATTATTAAATTTTAATTTGAAGCTATGCGTTATATGTATACCATGCGTAAATTTTCCGCTTTTATGGAAAAATAAAGAATCGAAGCAAATATACTTAGGATAATGGACCATAACTGAAAAAATTTCCCCTCTCTCCGAAAATCAAATATTGAAACTTCGACCTTGAATTTATTGGGTTACCGAAATATTTAATTTGACTTATCTTCTAAGTCCTAGTTCCGACAACAATTCCGAATTACTTAAGCTGAAGTAAAAGATTTAATATATATTCACTGTATGTTAATAAGTAATCAGAGTTGTAATAAAAATAGATTATAGAATTTACGGCTGATGCAACTTTTTGTCTGACTGCACAACATGTAATGGAAGAGAAAGGCTTGTAGAGATCTGTTTTTGACATGCCTCTAAAGGTAGATGTTCATACTCCTTTTGTCTCTTCAATATCAAAAGACTTTCCTTTGAGAGGCAACTTTAGTTTTTGGGAAAGAAAAAAAATCACAAGAAGACGAATTTGAAGAACGTGCAGGACGATTGAATATACATACTTATTTTCGGAACACAAGCGGTTCTCCGACTGGTTATTGAATAATGAAAAGATGCATTGTCATGCAATACAAAACATTTGGAATAAGTTTTCTGACTGAAAACGTAAGATTAAAAGTCATCTGTTTAATTCACAGCCATTTACAAGTCAACTGCTCGGGCAATTGCAGAATCGTTTTGATTCTGAGCTTGTAAGACAAACCTAATATCACTGGATTTAAACATTTCTTTAATCTTCCTAGAACGTTTCTTCTTTAGCTCATATTCCAAGAATATTAAGTGAATACAATTATTACAAAAGAAATTGAATATTCATTTGCACTACGGTTTGGTAGTTTACTAACGAGTTAACAAAACTTAAATTCTGCTTTTTGTGTCTAAGAATACAACAATATTTTAAATATTTACAAATAAAATATTAAATTGGAGATTTAATTGGAGCCTCACCAGTTGCCTAGCATTTGAAAGATTGTTAAATACTAATTGTTTGTTTGCGAAGTCTAACCCAGGCTGCATGGTTGGTCTTCGTAGTTTTTCTAGGTTCTCTTTACAGAGGTTCTCTATGAAAGCATCTTAATCAAATAGTTCCCGTGTTCTTTCTGTGTTCAATAACCAACTAACCTAGTTTAAGCGCGATTTCCAAGTGAAGTTACTAGCAAAACCCGAATACTCATTAAAAAATCATGTAGCTTGCCAATCGGGAGTAACATGAAGATACGGCGCCAATAATTGAATTGCTGTTACGGTACGCTGTTTCTAAATTTAGATGGTCATTCCTTAATTAAATAGCCCACCAGCGGCCGAGCGGTAAAGACGCTGAGCACTAGTAGTTCGGTCTGAGGTTGGAATCCCGCGAACGGGCTGGCCGCATGGGTGTTTTCGTGGTTTTCCCCATGTGTAACGTGTATACGAGCCAGTTTCCCTTAGAAAGTCCTCTACGAAGGCATCCCTCCCTTTAGGAATAAAAATATTCCTACGGCTGCTGCCTTAGTTTCAACAGAAAATTCTCAAATTAAAGAAAGCGTTTGCATTTTTTGTGATAGAAAATGTCATAATTCGCAAGACTGTGCTACAGCTGCTGATTCTTCAATTGATGAACGTAATAAAATAATGAAGAAGAAAGGTGTTTGTTTTAAATATTTAAGAACGAGTAAGTTCAAAATGTAGAGTTTTTGTGAGATGTGCGTTATGTAAAGTTCAGCATTATTCTATAATGTTTTCCAAAATTAGAAACTATGAAAATGATAAAACGTCTCAGAATGAAGATGAATCAGGAGTAGTTAAAACTTTATCTATTTCATCTAAGTATTCCGTTTCATATTTACAAACTCTGATTGCAGATATTGTTGTTGATAATAAAACATATCCAGTGAGAATATTACGTCATTCAGGCTCTCAGAAAAGTTATATTAAGAATTCGATTGCAAAAGAATTTAATTTGATACCACAAGGCAAGGTAACTTTATCGCAAGTATTGTTCGGTGGTAAGAGGAGTCCCTTCTCGACACATGATATGTACAAAACTAAGTTTTGAAGACTTGATTCTAAAATTGTTTTTGAATTTGATGTTATTGGATCTGATCAGATTTGTACTAATGTACCAAGATTTAAAAATGAGAAGGTTTATCAAATCCTCTAAAGTAAAGGAATTGAGATAAGTGATTATTTAAAAGATAATCATTATTCGGAAGACATCCAGGTATTATTAAGTGCAGACGCTTGGGCGAAAATTGTAACACATGATGTGGTTTCTGTTGAAAAGAATTTAGTTGCTGTCAGAACCATTTTAGGTTGGGCACTCTTAGGTAGTAGTTACGACCCAACGTCTATTTTTTCCTGTTTACTTATTTCAATAAAATGCTCTATTGAAACATCGAAATTTTGGAAGCTAGAAACACTGGGCATTTCAGATCCTGTTGAAAGAATTACACAGGAGGAAAAAGATAAAGATGTCATGAAATTTTTTTAGAATACTACCAAACGAAATGAAGCTACAGGTCATTATGTAGTACGTCTTCCATGGATTGATGGTTGCCCTTTCTTACAATCTAATCTGCTGAAAAAAAAACTCCAGACTACATCGAAGAAATTGAAGAAACTAAACAAGTTTCAAGAATATGACGATGTAATTAAAGACTGGTGGAAATGGGAATAATTGAAATTGTACTGGAAACAAATGCAAATGAAAGGACCCATTATTTACCACACAGAGCTGTTTTTAAAGAATGTAGTACTACGAAAATTAGGCCAGTATTTGATGCATCAAACAAAGATGAAAATGGATCTTCTCTGAACGACTGTCTTGAAGTTGGACCAAATGTAGTAGATTTAATTCCGATAGTATTAATTATTTTTAGAATTTATGCAATCGCTTTATCTTCTGATATAGAAAAGGCATTTCTACAAATTGAAATTAATCCAGAAGATAGAGATTTCCTACGCTTCTTGTGGTGGGAAAAAGGAAATATTGTGGAATTTAGGTACTGCAGAGTAGTTTTTGGTGTTTACTGTTCTCCATTTCTTCTTTCAGCATGTCTAAATAATTTGTTAGAAAACCCACCTGAACATTTAAGCAAGATCGCAAAAAAGTTAAAAGGCACATTCTATATGGATAATTCTCTTACTGGTGTCTCTAAAGAAGAAGAAATCGAATCACACATTAATAAAGCCACACTACTGATGTCTACAGCTGGGTTCAACCTTAGAGGTTGGAAAAGTAGTAGATTTGAATGAGAGTCCAGAAAATGTCCTCGGTTCAGTGGTACCGTCCATCGCCCATCAATTTTTGGCGATTGATATCTTGGTATCTTGGTCTGAAGCTCCCACAAGACGAATCCTCCTTTCATGCATTCAGAAATTATAATTATTTTTTATGTTTGACTAAATCTTATTTCCTTAATCTAGTGTTGCAAATGGTTTTAAGAAAATATAAACTACAGATTTTCTTACCTTCGAAATTGGAAAATGTAAGTTCATCACATTCAAGTACAATATCGAGCATATCCCCAATATGCTGTCTTAATTGTTGATACGTTAATGAATTTCTGCCGCAAGATGGACCATTTAAACTACCTTCTACTGATTCAGGACGTACATCATGCACATTATGTAAATGGCGAAATAAATTAGAACGAAATTGAAAATATCTTCTACAAACGTATCTTCTGTACGCAAAAAGTGCATTTTGCGTATAGAATTTCTTAAGAATAATCCATCCAGAATGAAATAACTTTGTACACAATGCTGGAATATTATGCAAGAGAGACGATTGGCATACAATTCTGTCAAAAAACTAAAATGGCGGTGGTAAATTTTTGCTATACAAATTCGCCAAGAAGTTTTCGCCAATTCCTACGAGAACCCGAGAGGATTTCACTTAGAATTGAGACCTTCCTGTTAGGTAGAGTTTCAGTCCCCGATAAGAGGAAACTGCGAACCTTCCCTCCCATTCCAACCTGTTTCGGAAAAACTAGTCAAGGCCTCTCCTCTTATTTCCTACCTCCATGGTTTCGGGTAATACGTAAAGCTGCCTAATTGTTAATACTAAGTAATTCGCTTTACCACTAGACCAGCTGCCTTAGTACGCTAAAACTGTCTGTTACCATAAATTTAAACAAAATAATAATAATAATAATAATAATAATAATTGTTGAGTCTTATTTTATTTTCCTAACGGTTAATTTTTAGTTTGGAAAAAGCCTTTTCTTTACATCCTCATTTTCCTACCTATGTTTTCTCTCAGAGACAGTTTTCAGCTTCACGCCCTATGCAAAGTAGGGTAGAAACTACTATTTAAGCTGAAGTCTGAGCTACTTCAGACAGAGCGTGTACTGCGTTATGAGCTACGTTGCACGTTACGAGTTAAAGCTTGCTGTTTTACGCCATACATATTAGTTGCCTCTTAATCTACGTCGGCTATTTCTGTCCTTCTGCAGCTGTCCCAGACACGGCTTGCTGATCTTCGAAGCTCAGGGCTTCACTTTTGTTTTTCTTTTACAAACTTATCTCAACTGGCGAAGCTTCATTTTTGGACTTTTACATGCGTCAGGACCCTAATGGGACTCATTCAGAAATCTAGAAAGAGCAGGAGTCTCCCGCTGCATGCCAGAATAACCAACAAAGTATCAAAGTAGGTTATTAAGCCAAGAGCCAACTACACGCTAAATATCTTCGTGCAGCTTCGGCTGATTATTCATTTTAGAATTAGTTTAGTTTTACGTATTCTACTTGTAATTTAAAGCCATAAGTGCTGCTTATTCGTACGCCCAAGTAGGGCCATCTGTGGATATGTTTTGAGTTGAAATAAAAGGGTATTTTAACCCTTCCTCTGGGTTGCTACTAACGTAACAGAGCTTGCGAATAGTCACTTCACATTTTCTACTAAGTTCTAGTAGTCAAATAAGTTTAATTTAGATAGAACACTAGCTGTATAATAAATAAAAATTGTTTCGAAAGGCATTTAAAATTTTCGAAAATATTTTTTGTAAAGTGTAATAGTAAGTTTTATTATTAAAAACCTGTGTTACATGCATATTAAGTAAACTAAAACTAGTCAAGCAACAGTTAAGATCATACCACAGTTAAAATACCCAACTGAACTGCCAGTATCATACCTCAAAAAGATTACACTGAGTAAACTTATTAATCTCTGGCGAACAAGATAGGATGCTTCCACAACAGGACGAGGGACAAGAAAATTTAGATTGCAAAATACATTCAAGTTCCATCAAAATAAGTATTCTAATTATAGAGCCTAAAATGATCGCTTGTGGTTTTTATACAACTGCTGTAGAGTTATAAAAATTTCTCCATTTTATTCGGACTTAGGTCTTTTTAAAAATCTACGGAATAAGTTGGAGAAGAATAGGAAAATATGAAATTTCTTCGAAAGCTCAAAGCAAATCTTACGGAGGAACAGAACAAAATAAAATATTCTTATACACAGCCCCCCGCCCCCCCCCAAAAAAAACGTTGAATCCATGCCAAAGTGCATGAAAAGTTAATTTTGACTAACAGTTATCCAACAAAATATTAAGTAACAGTATAATTAATCAGTAACATATGGGAAAAGAAATGAAGTTATTTTGCTAACGCAAAGTAACTGATATTTGACATTAAAGCAGAACAACATATGTATTCGTTAAATAAATGTGAGCTACTGAATTTTGCTAAACAAGTAATAATTTCCAAATGCAGAAAATAATTTTTTAATCAGCCACTTCAGAGAAATCATGCACGCAAGCCAGAAAATTATAATTTTAATTAAATCTTTAGTTGAAAAAGAAATTACCGTGGAAACTCATAAGCACATAGCTTCCTTAAAATTAAAATATATTTATGTAGATATGCTAGTAAGTTAATTTTACTATCATTCTAATTTTATATTTCTATAACGTTTCATACAGAATGCGAGGAAATTGCTGCAATGCAAATATAAGCAAACTATTTGTTCCTTTTACATGATAGAAGCTTGCAAATACTTTTACTTCCTTGTACGAAGTAAAGAAAATATTGTAATCGCGAAAAATTTCGGGTATCATATTTCAACGAAAATAGTCATTTTGATCGCTCTCAAATCCATTTGAATGTTTATTTTTCATAATATCTAAACTCATGAACAGAATAAAAGACCCATTTTTCCAAAATGGATTCAGAAGAAACTTTTTCTTGACGTCTGTAAGTATCAAGCATCAAAAACAAGTAGGCGCAGAACGCTGAAATTTTGTATATGGGAATGTCATAGCATGCAGTTGTGCACTTTCCTTTTTCGTTGGAATCGGCAGTGCTAAACGTGTATATGCATATATTCGCACCCTGTTACTCGGCTTCGTGAGCTCAGTATTTATCTTCTTAAATGTTGGTAAATCGTGCATTTTTTTGCTTTAAAAGTGTGCAGTAGGGCTCCTTACCCTTTTTGACTAAAGTCAATGTTGAGGAACCTAGTGAACTGTTAAGCGACTTATCGCTGAGTTCAAATAACTAAAGACGTAGACTCAAGAAGGGTTAACTACCGTTTATTTCGCTCAAAATAAGATAAACAGTTGGTCCCTTTCTCGGGCTTACAACAAAGACTCCACTTGGTCTTTAACTCAGAATAAGAAATAAAAACTAAAGTAGAACTAACTAAGAGACTTAGCTAAGCTAACAGAATTATCTAAAGTAATTGGCCCTTAATTTAATCTGTCCGGCGAATATCAAAAGGCAAGTAATAAACGGCCGAGCATAACAGCTTCAAGAGAGATTTAATCCGAAGGCAAACCCGCTCTACTCAGTATTCCTATCTCTCTCTCACGAAGTAAATTGGACGTTCCTTAAATACTGCTTAAAACTTATTTGCATTCAACGCAATTCTAAAAACTCATTCTGGTAGGAAGTTGTAAGTGGAAACAAGAATTGATAGGAAAGTGACTTTAAAATTAAAATAACTGTTATAAAATTAATATATACCTTACAAGTGGTTGAATTATGTTGTTCTTATGTTTCCGGTTAAGGTTTTTATGCCTTTGGTTAATCTGCATGCAATAGTTGTACAATTATCAACAGTTTAAAATTTGCTTAAGTGACCATTTGGTTACATTTGGAGCTATTAGCAGCATAGTGAATTCAGTTGCTGCATCAACTTGTCTTTTTTTTTTGCGGAGTGGGGCCGTCCCAGGCAGCACGTCTCCAAAAATATACGTATAATTTTGGTGAAATAAGGGTATGGTATTTTTTGCACGTTACTTTTACGAAATTTATACGAATGAAAAAGGCTGAAGTTACTGTTGACTCTTGATCGTTATTTTCCGCACGTTTTTTACGAAAATTATACGAATCCGAATGTACTGATAAAACTACCGCCATGATGGTATATTTTATTCGTCACTTTTACGCATATTATACGAATCCGAATGTTCTGAAAGAAACTACTGCCTTTATGGTATATTTCATTCGCCACTTTTACGGATATTATACGAAGTCTAAAAAGATTGAAAATGAAGTTTATTAATTCAAAATATTTAGTGTATTTCTGGCATTTCACTTTGTTTTCCTTGTCCACGAACATGAAAAAAAGGGGCATTCATATATGAGGCTAAAATTTTTCTATAAATTTTAACATGTGAGCTAAATCTTTACGTGCATTTTTACAAAAAATTATATTTTCTTAATTCAAACATCTTCAAAATAACTTATTTATTTTCTTATATCAAATTTGTTATTTTTATTCATATCAACACTTACATTAATTTACACAATTTAATTTCTTTTATGAAAATCCTATTACCCATTTAACTGGAATAAGCTGTATATTAAATTTGTGTACTTACTGAGTTTGGTACAATACTCTCCTTATTTTATTTAGCAAATGTGGGCAATTAAATTGGAATAAGACTAGCAAATCTTTCATGTCGAGGAATAGAATAATAAATAGAGCAGAAGATGCTTGAAAATGTTTAACTTCTTGAACAATAGTTTAATGTAGACCAAAGGATCATTAATTATAATCAAAGATATACTAATATTTTTATTTAATAATAATAATAATAACTCTACGAAATTGCAAGCTGAATCCTGATATTTTACATATATTTCAGTTCCTTTAATCTTTGTTATAAAAATCATATGAGGCTAATTTTTTAAAATTTTGTTTAATGTACGGAAAAAAATGATATAGCGATTTTAATAATTTTTATATGAGGAAAAAATTAATAATAAATAATGTAAATAAATAATTATATTATATTTTATATTTTTCCTGAAACAGTTAAAGACATTCTTAATATGGAGATCTACAGAATAAGTACAAGGGTCCAGTTAAATGAACTCAAAATTTGCATAGTTAATTTTACGCTAACTTATAAAAATTAAGCGGATTTACGATTATACACTGAGCATGCGCATACACAGACATTTCTATTTTTCGTAGAAAAATTTAATTATTACCTTAATACAGAGATGCTGTGAATATAAATTTATGTAATGTAAAAGTAAGTTTATTTCATATGCTAATTTAGAGGCTTTCTTAATATGTTTAATTATAAAGAAAAAAAAAAAGTTGCAATTCTTGTTCACTGACCAATGGCAAAGCAGACACTTTCTACTTCCGGTTGTGGCGGGATATTTGTGAAGTCAGCACTCAGCAATGGCGGTCGAAAAGAATGGTAAAGTCGCAAAGAATACTGTTTGTTCATGAATTGGCGTTTGTGACTGAATCCATCGAAGTTACTAATTATTTGAAGAAAGTAAGTGAATATTTTATATTTTCAGTGTTTAATACTCGTACTTTCTTCACCTATATAAAATTTTATAAATAGCGTCTGTGTAGGAAATGTGATTTTCCATGTGTTGTTCTTTTGTGTACGTGCCTAATGATTCATTTTCAGGATTTGGTACTGTTAAATTTTGCACTAGTCTGTTTCTTACTGTTTGTGTCACTCCTTTTTGTATGTGTCTCACCTTTTTTATAGTTATATTATTTTTACTCAAACGTTTTAATATTTATCTTAAAGCATACTGTAATTAAGCAGGAAATAGCTTTTAATGGAAAAAGAAAGGCAATATTAACATGACTAATTGTTCAGAAATCTGTTATGGAAATATTATCTACCTTATGCCAAAAAATAAAGCATGTAACTTTCATTTATTTATGAAATTCAAAATTTTTTATTTGCTTAGTGTTTTCCCTAAAAATAATTTAATTTCTTATTTTTGAATTTAGTTTTATAAATTTGCTTTAATATATAATCTTTAACTCAAAGATATTGTGCTATTAAAAAAGGAAATTTTATGCCATAGAAACACAGGTGCTTTGTTCCAAATCTGTGTTAATTTTTTTTTTTATATATATACTGAATTTTTATGCACTTGTAATTACTGAAATATATCCTTTCATGAATAATAAGTAAGTCCTAAGTCCTTTCATGAATGCATTTCTTTTTTGTTTGTTCTAAATTTTCTGATTTAGAAAATGTATGTTTAATGTAGCATTAGTTTTCCATGGAATTGAAAAGGTTTTCAAAATGTTCAGTTGTTAGAGGGAAATAATATAAATGAGATTGTCCTGATACAGTTTCAAAAAATGAAACTGAATTTTCGGAAGTGAAGATTTCATTTAAGAATTCTAATAAAACTGATTAATGTAAATCCTATGATTCATGTAGGTATTCTTCTGTTATCAGGACCAGATTCAGAAGTGTGTGTTTATATGCATGCATTTTTAAATTGTTGATTTTGTTGTTTTGAGAAAGATCTGCCATAGTTAAAGAAAGAAAATAAAGTAAGAATGCTTTACTTTCAGTTTTGAATAAATTTATTACTATTCACTGCAGCTTCAAGTTTCTCTAAACATAATTTTTAAAGTCAAAACTTGATAGTTATGTTGATTATTAAACTTGCATGAAAAAATTTATTGAAAAATTAGCATTTGATCTAAAATACCTTAAATTATATTTTACTAAATCATGTATTTTGATATAACTAGATAGTTAAAAAAATTAAAAATTGTAAATGTGCAGAAATGCTTATATAAAACCAAGAAATTGTTTATATTTTTGTTGCTTTTTCCCTTGTAAATTAATTATATATATATATTACAGTCTGGGGAGTCAGCACCCTGCTGAATTGTAGTAAACGAGACGTCCAATCTACTAGACCATCAAAGATGCAGATTTGGATTTTCTATTTCATAGTTATTGAAATCATAATGGTATGTTTGTTTAAATTAGTACTGTTTATGAATGTGATAAAAATAAATTCTGATAAGCTAAGAAATGATTTATTTTCTATTAATTATGAACTGTAAATAATGTAACCAATTTTCTTCATAGTATTTACTAAACATTTTTTTTTTTTTTTTTTTAAAGGGAGAGGTAGTCTTATTTATACAATTCTTGCAGAGATACCAAGAAATAAAACATTTCAGGAATTTTCACTCAGTATATCTTGATGTGTAAAATCATGTTGTTCAATGCCATATTACTTTTTCACAGGAAAGTAATTTTATTGATCTAACATCTGCATAAATCAAACTTTTTTAAGAATGATTACAGTTTCTAAGCTAACTTAAAATTTTCAGATTTAGAAAATGTGTGTTTAATGTAGCATTAGTTTTCCATGGAATAGAAAAGGTTTTCAAAATGTTCAGTTGTTAGAGGGAAATAATATAAATGAGATTGTCCTGATACAGTTTCAGCTGGAAATGAAACTGAATTTTCGGATAGTGAAGATTTCATTTAAGAATTCTAATAAAACTGATTAATGTAAATCCTATGATTCATGTAGGTATTCTTCTGTTATCAGGACCAGATTCAGAAGTGTGTGTTTATATGCATGCATTTTTAAATGTAGGTGCTCATGTGTGCATGTGTATATTCTTTATGTATGTATGTGTATACTTATACACACATATGCGCATACATGCATATACACATGCTTACATATCTACTGTGGAACCCCGAGATACGAGTTTAATTCATTCCAGCATTCAACTGGTATAGTGAATTTCTCGTATCTAGAAACAAGCTTCCCCATTGAAAATAATGGAAATTCAGTTAACCCGTTCCACACCCCCAAAAAAAATATCAGCATTTTAATATCAAGTCAATTTTTCCTAATAAATAACACTGGTAAATAATATAACCATAGTTTAACTTTGTTACCAACATTTTAACTCCTTCTCATTAATCCACACCAACAACAGCTTCTCAACATCTAGGAGTACTTTTATGGTGCTTGGAAGCAACGATAATTCCTTTGGCTACATCAGGTTTCTTAATTTCTTCCTGCTTCTTCAGAATAGTATAGATTTTCGATGTTGAAAGGCCGCAAGTCTTCGCCAATTCCGTCACCATGCTTATGTTTATCTATGATTTCTTTCTTGATATCGACGGCCATGGCCTCCTTATTTTTCTTTGCAGCACTATCTGAGGCAACAATCTTCTTGCGAGGCATCTTGAAATAATTATTTTCACGTTAAATGTCAAAACAATTAACTTGCAAGTGCACAAACACGTATATAAAAGAACACTGAGTGATCTGACAAGGGGATTCCCCCGAATTGAGCCGGATAGGGAAATGGTGCCACCCATACCAACAGCCTGGCTCATTGCTCGTTACTCGAATTAATGCTCGTATTTTGCTCATACTTTCCTCGTATCTCGAGGTTTCATTGTACATTTCTGAATCCCGTCCTAATAACAGAGGAGTACCTTTGCCAGTATTGCAACAGAGCTAGAATGAATTATTGTGTTAAATATGTGGAAAATGCATGCTTAAAGTACTGTTATTTTCTAAAAATATTCTGTATGTCTATTTTTTACAAGAAGAAAAAATAGCTAAAAGCTGTTAATTTACTCGTATTTATTAGTCCAAAGGGGCTTTGTCCCTAAAGAACTATTGTTTTTGTTTTGCATTGGTTCACTATAAATATCTGTTTCACTTTTCAAACTGTTCCTACCAAATGTTAGAGTCCCTAGTGTGGGATTAATACTCTCTATCTTAGTGCCCTCTATAACCTATGTTAGGGTTAACCTGTATAACCTACAAGGATTGCCAGTTTAGGCGAGATATCTAGGTAGTCATCATAATACGTACCTTATTTTTTATTATTTTTAAATTAAATTGAAAAGTAATAAACTAGTTTTCAAAAAATGGAGTTAAACTAGATTTGCATTCAACTCTGGTTTATTGTGTTAATGATGTTTTGCTGTAACAAATATGAATTTTTTGTTTAAGTATAATAATTTAAAATGTTTTTTCTAGAGAATGAAGTACTGCCACTAAGGTAAAGGTGCTAACTTGCAAGGTAATTTTCTATTCTACATTAACTCAATCTTTATGTCCTGTTACAGATATATTGGCAGAAATAATGAAAACCTGACATTCAAAAAGAAAAATAATAATGTTGAATGTAGTATATTAGCTGGTTAACTGCGGTTTGGCAGCTCATTAATAATCTTACACATATTGAGTACGAATAACTTTGACAATTACCGGTATTTTCAATAGTATAAAATTAGGCAAGAAAGCAGCTTTAGCTTAGCACCAATTTTAAATACAACTCTCTTACCAATATTGGTTTGACGAAGGTAAAATATAATTGAATTTAATAAGTTGGAAAAACTGTTTGTCTTTCCATGAGTTAAAAAATAATTTCAAATAAAATTTCTTTTTTCAGTTTTTCATGTTATTTGTTTAATGTTATTGTAATCTGATTTATCATATTTAGTCACATATTCCATCCCTCTTTGCACTATAGTATATAATTCAAAGGACTTATCAGTTTCAGCAATATTTTTTTTACCAGTATACATTTTTACCATAACTCTGTTTCTAAATCATATCCTGAAAAATTAAGGAGTAAAGTACACAAAGAAGGAAAATATGCAAGTAAATAATGGCATTTAGTGTTGTTTATGTGTCTAATATTTGTACTAGATTGTAAAAGTTATAAATTCTATTAGCTTTTTTAAATTATTCTTTTTTAAATTGAGATGCTTCTTTGCACCCAAATGGTTAAAGCCCTGGTGTGACTTTGGTACTTTGATCTAACTTCTATTCCTAATAAATAATCCAGCTGCATACAGTTTACTCAATTTCTGCCATGTGTAAGGTAAACAATATTAGCTTTTTTTAAATATATCTTTTACAACTATTCCATCAGGTAGATTTCTTTCATATTTTGCCTTAATTGAGTCATCCTGCTAATTAAGAATTTATTAAAGTTAATACGTTAAGTTTTTGTGTGTATAATTCATTTATGTATACAACACTCTTGCACATAAGTATGTGCAAGCAAATGCATACATTAACAGTTACGTAGAATTATGTTTTGGGTATCAAATTCAGAAAATTTGGGGCTGTTTTTAGAAGATTTATTAATGATTTATACTATATTAATATTGGTAAAAAAATTCTGTGGCTTTTATATGAGAGTATATATTTTAAAATAGCTGCATGATATGGTAGAGGTAAAAAGCTTCATGTGGATCATAAATTAATATTATGTGGCAATTTTTCATTTATTTAATAAAGAAAATATTCAAGCTACAATTAAAATTTTTTCACTGGATTATTTGCATACAAAGTTTGCAGCAAATATTTCCTGCAACAGAAGTGACAATTTTTATTTTGCCAAGACAGGAAATTTAGTTAGTGAAAGCAGTAACCCTATTTTGAGATGTTAAACAGGAAGGCAAATTTTTGAATTTAAATTGATTTTTGAAGGAAGACTTCATTTAGTCTTGCTATCATTCTACGTGGCTCTTAACTTTTTTATGGTATTTATAATTTTATTGTTATTCAGCTTTCTGTTTGCTTAGAATGCACATGAATGTAGACTTGAAATATTTTATATTGCAAACTGAGATGCCATTGTTATCATAATTAAAGATTTTTGCTCTGATTTTGGAGGAATTTACTGATAATACTTTTGATTGTGTATTGGTTTCTGGTTTATTGAAATGTGTAAATAGCCTGTTAATGCATATACGTATGTTAATGACATGTATATGTTTATGAAGTATTCTGTTATATGTATATAGTGTTGTGATTAGTTTTCTGCTTACTCTTTATTTAAGAAAAAGTTATCTGTAAGAAAGCGAATATTCTTTACTATATGTAGGAGTAAAATTGAAAAGGCTAATGCAATATAATTAATACAAAATTAAGTTTTTTCTCATGTACTTAAATACAAACATAGCCATTAAAGACTTTCTCAACCTTGCAGTTCTAAACAAATCTTAAGTATTTTTTACTTGAAATTATAGGCATTGTGTAAGGTATATAATTAAAGCTTACTGTGTGATAGTATGAAATGTAAATTTTTAATTACTGAAATGTAAATTTTTAAATATGAAATACTCAGTGCATTTTATATGCATCTTTTAATACTTCAACTATATTTAAAAACTGAAAACATCTGAAGTGTGAAATTATTACAAATTTTTCTTTTTCTTGTTTAGGAGCTGTTCTCAAAACATTGGGTGACAAAGAATTCACTTTTACAAAAATCGAGCAGGATATTAAAGACAGCGAACTATAGAACAAATATGGCGAAGCTGCATGAAGTCTATGTTGAATTTTATATATTGAAAAAAATATGCTCTTCAGATTTAATGTTAGTTTTTATTGTTTAACAGTAATTGCAGTTTTCGAATACCTGTAAAATAAACCTAATTCTTAAATTAATTTCATGTGTATTTCTTTTGCAAGTATTACAGTTCATAATACTTCAAACAACTTGAAATTTTATACTTGTTAATTTATGTGGGATATGTTCATTATAATTTTATAATTTAAATAACTCATTGTCATCATATGAGCATAATCTAAAGTGTACAGCATTTGACAACAAATTAATAAAAAATTAGCCAACTTCTAATTTCTTTCTTTTGCCCAGTTGCCTCTTTTTAAATCTAATACCATAAAGCTATTTGATGAAAAAAAAAATAATTGGTATGTCCACATCAACATGTACATGTATAATGATGTTATAGAAAAAGTCACATGAGATAAATATTTAAAAACTTCAATATTCCTAAACAAATTAACTTTTTAAAATTTTATCTGCTATATAAGATAAAATAAAAAACATATTTAGGTAATTTTGAATTTGCATAATTTTATGAAATTAACAGTTACATTGTAAAAGGGAACTTTTTAAAAATACCTCAATAAAGAATTTCTTTTGTAGAGGTGAACTTTTAGTACTGATCTAATATATTTATAAGATTTTAAACTGAGAAAGACAACAATAATAGATTATAATACATTGCAAGATTGACTGATAAATGTAAAATTTTTACATATCATAATTATGTGTGTAATTAAAACAGAAGTTACTCAATTAACTTGCGTGCAAATTAATATTTTCTTTAACATGTTTGGGATAAACTGAATTTTAATAAATATGTAGATATTTGTATTATCTGAAGATATGAATGAAATATTTGTGACATTAAACATTCATCTTCAAGGAAAATAACAAAGTCAACTTGGTAAACTATTGGAAAAGGTAAGTTTTCTACAATTTCCTGGTTTATATTTAACAATTTTAAAATTTAGCACACTCATTCAAATAATCTAAACGTATGATGTTTTCTTTTGTGCTACATTCGTTTACTGAATTTGTTAACTATATTGTACTATAGATAGAAATTAACGTAGATATTCCCTGTATTTTACTTATATTTATTTTTTACTTTACAAAAACTTATATATTTGATAGTAATTGACCTAAATCTTCCCTATGTTTTCTTTGCATATACGAATGACTGGTAAAAATTTAGTCCGATGTCTTCTCCTTTTTACTGTGTATAAGTGCACATTTTTGGTAAAAAAACCTTGCATAAATCTCCAATTACCTATATACTGCATTTTTCGTAAAATGTGCTTATTTTAATCTCTTATTTTTTATATAAATCTATGCAAAAATGTTCTGCATATTATGATTAAAAGATAAAATTAATTTAATATCAAATTTTTACATATCCACCTTTTAGGTATGTACAGCAATATGGAATATATATAACTGGAAAATTTAAATGCAAAAAAATTAATTTCTATTCAAAAATTACATAACACTAAAAGGCTGAAAATCACTTTTAATATTTCATTTCAAAGTGACTACAAAATATGCAATAAATTTTGTAAACCTGAGTTCTATGTTTTAAATCAATTAATGCTATCGTTCATTTACATGGCATAAGAAAATGTCCTTCGAAAAAGCAAATAATTTATTTAAAGTGTTATTTAGTAAACAACTGTTTGCTACAGTTTTTTACTAAATTTAAATTTATGAAATGAATTTAGTAAACAAAAATGCAAATGAACGATAGCATTAATTGATTTAAAACACAGAATTTATGTTTACGAAATTTATTGCATATTTTGTAGTCACTTTGAAATGAAATATTAAAAGTCATTTTCAGCCTTTAAGTGTTACGTAATTTTTAATAGAAATTTTTTTTTTTTTTTTTCCCCAATTTACTAGTGCATTTAAATTTTCCAGTTATATATATTCCATATTGCTGTACATAACTAAAAGGCAGATATGTAAGAATTTGATATAAAAATTATTTTACCTTTTAATCATAGCATACAGAAAGTTTTTGCATAGATTTATATAAAAAATATGAGATTAAAATAAGTACATTTTATGAAAAATGCAGTGAAAAAGTAATTGGAGATTTATGCAAATTTGTACCAAAAAATGTGCATTTATACACAGTAAAGTGGAGAATACATCGGATTAAAATTTTACCAGTCATTCACATATGCAAAGAAAACATAGGGAAGATTTAGGTCAATTACTATCAAATATATACGTTTTTGTACCGTAAAATACGGGGAATATCTACCTTAATTTTTACCTAATATATACGTTTATATACAGTAAAAAATCGGGGAAATTTACGTAAATTTTTACTAAATATATACGCATACGTGAAGCAAAAAATTGAGATTTACGTATATGCTATAAATATACGTAAATTTTTACTAAAAATATACGTAAATCCCTGAAATTTACGTATATTATACGTAAAAGTTGCGAATGAACGGTAGTTTCTCGCGTAAATATACCTAAATTTTACGTAAAAGTTACGTATAGTATAACGTAAAAATATATGTAAATATTTAGTAATTGCCACTGGACACTTTTTATGATATTTTTACGTTCAACTTTAACGTTTTTTATACGAAAGGCCATTCGTAAATTGCACGTATTTTTCTCGTGCAATTTACGAATGCATGCTGCCTGGGGCAAGTTTAACTTTAAATTTGGTGCATGGAAAATTTGGTCTTTCTTCCCGTTGGCCAAGTTGCTTGTTTTGGCGTAGAAACTCTGATTTTAATTGTTTGTTTTTTTAACTGTATTTGGTGTTTTTAGGTTTTTCTGTATTTTACAACTTTTAATGAAGATATTTTGAATTTTTACATATTTTTGCCTTCCGCGAAATGAGAACAGATTGAATGAGAAATATATCTTTAACGAAATTTGAAGAAATCAATCTAAATGAAATGCAACAAAAAATATGTATAATTTTATAGGTCCTACAAGGAAGTCATGTGGTGTCCACATCAAATACCATAAATTCGGTTCTAGCACGAATTTTCATAAGCATAAAAAATTAGTTTTTTTTTTCAGTTATTTAAAAGTATCTGACTAAATTAATAAAAGGAAAAAGATATCTGAACTCTGAGTTTTAAACAAAGAACGAAATGAAAAGGACGAAAAAAGTGAAGAAAGTGATCAGGCTTTCCAACTGTTGATAAATGAAGTGCTAGTAGATAAAAGAGTCGCGGATATACGAGTAAATCAAAGCCAGATTGGATATAAATCAGAGTCTCGGATATAAATCAAAGCCATTGTGGCGAGCCATTGGATGCCGGATTATTAGAATTTTACTGTATAATAAAAGTTTGAATATACAGTTTCCATTTGAAATGTTGCTGTAAATAGTTGCTTTTTCTCCTTCAAATGGGAAAGTCACTGGCATACTGAAGGGAATTTAATTTTGTAAAAAATTAAGGAATCAATTTATATATGGTAGCCATAAAAAATCTTCCCCGATATATGAACCCCTAGCGGCGTATCCGTTCAACCAATCGAAATGAAATTTCAGATTAGAGTCGCGCAAACTTGACATAATGTGGACTGAGAGACTGTCCAGTTTCCGAAATGTCGAGTTTTACGGGATAAGGGGTGGGTTAAGTACAGCATATAATTAAACTAATGTTGATTTTTTCATGTCAAATTCTAGTACACTAGGAGTCATAAAAAGAACAAATACCCTAAGATAATTGAGTAAAAAACTTACATACAAAAGTGAAGAAAAAGTATTAGTAGTTCTTGGTAGAAAAATATCGTGTGATGGTAGATTGTCTCTCGCACCCATTCCGTCGTCGTGCAACTTCATCCCGTAGGCGACGGAGGAACAAAATGTATACCAGATGCACCTTGCCCCTCCATGTAACGGAGCATTCCTTCAGCTGTCTTCAGTCCTTCACTACTGGTCATCATTTTAGCTTTTCCTTTGTTTTCAATCTTTTCGTTTTCTGATTCATCTTCATTTTTATCCACATTGTCTTTCACCAGTGCAACTCTTTATGCATATCCTAAAATTTCAGAATTTTCATCTTGTCCCATCCATTCTTCAACATCACCATCACTAACTTCTTCGCAGCCTGGAATTTTCTGAAGTAAGTCACCTGTTTCACAATTTTCTGTTTCTTCTCTGCTTTTGTGAAATTCGGTTCCAGAATGGTCCAGCAAATTTGTCCAGGAACGAGCTATCCATCCAATAACATCCAACATATCTATTTTCTTCAGCTTCTCGATTATATCACACCCTTCCTTCATAGCTAGGTCAAGAGATGAGAGAAGTTTACATCTGTATTGTTTCTTCAGTGCCTCCAAAACGCCCTGGTACTTGTGCTGACACACTGAAGTTGTGTTAGGAGGAAGAAACATGGCTCTTATATCTGTTACGCATCAGGATTGGATGAGGCATTGTCTAGAATGAGAATCTCCTTCCTTGGTACATTTTTTGATTTTAAAAACTTTTCCACCGATGGAACGAACTGCTGATGAAACCAATCATTAAATATTGTTCCAGTTCTCCATGCGATTAACTGATTCCGGTACCAAACTGGAAGATCATACTTGGTTTCGGTGCCATTAGTGTACGTTTTTAAACGCCCGGGGATTTTTTTTTTATTTGCTTATAAGCGTTAGTTTGAGCTGATGGCTGCCTGTTGCATTGCTGCATGCCAAATTTGTGACTCTCTCCTTGCTTCTTATGTAGACAGGCTCCGATTTTTCTTTCCTGGATGCCAGCGTTTTCGAAAGCAGCATTCAAAAATTCAGACCGGTTTTATCAGAATTATAAATTTGATCTCCAGATATATCCCCCTTTTCAATTAGTTTATGCAAATTATCCTTGAATATTGCACTATTTTCCATGCTAACAGATAGCTTTTCCCTACAAATGTTTAACTGCCTGATGCCATACCGCTTTTTCTACCTTTCGAGCCAGCCAGCTTTAGCAATAAAACTAGGCTCTTCTTGAAATTCATCATGAAA